TGTGTGTGTGTGTGTGTGTGTGTGTGTGTGTGTGTGTGTGTGTGTGTAAGCCCACTGAAATTCCCCGACATGCTTCATCCAGACAAGTATTAGGCTCTATCAAATGCTCCAATGCAAGGATCTCAATACTTCATTCTCCATCTTCCCCTCCGTTTGGTCAGCAGCTCTATCAGTTTTCTGTGACCAATTTTCTGTTAAGGTGGTCTGGGTCTGGATAACCTTCTTTTGTAGGCCCTATCTTACTTCACTTCAGGTCAAAGAGGCATTTAAAGATGTGGGAAGTGGTGGTCATAGGGGAGTCGGTCAACTCGCTCTGGCCAGGAGCAGGTGTATGTTAATGTTACCAAAATTTAATCATCGAGGCAGCTGTGTTTTGCTGAAAGGCCTCCAAACCACCTGATTCACGTCTTCACTATAACATAAACTCTAATGGTCACTGTCAGGTGACACCTGTCAAAGGCGTTGAGAACCATGTTCCTTGAATATAAAACAGTTCTCGCCTCTTTTCATAACACTAAGAGGCTTCAGACATTCTTCCTCATCTGTGGAGCTGAGAGACAGCCCTATCCCTGAGGCCCTGGACACGTACTCTGCTTCGCTGACTCTGCCTGTCAGCTTTAGGACCTGGGAAGTTGAATAACACCATTAACCTCATGCTTCATGCCATCAGGAACTGGCTGGGTCCAGAGAGCAGGTGGATATGTCACAGGCATTCTGAGATGTCAATCTAGGAGTTTCTATTTTAGAGTCCACTGTCTGAACCAAGTTTCTCTCCTGTTCCAGGGTTGCCTAGGGCTATAGGAGAGGTGACAGCAAGCAAGACTGCCTTGGTTTTCTGTGAGCAAATGGCCCCATTTGGGGACAATTCCTTTATTTTAGGATGAGTGGTAAAATTTTGCCTTGAACTTTTGATATTATTTTATACCCTGCTCCAGATAAACAAAAGGAAAGCAGTCTAATATTTTTTTCCCATGCATCTTGTTGCATATTTTTGCCTCTCTGTAAGCATTAGGGATACAGCTGGTCTTTTCCTATTCTGTGGGTTGTGATATTTGAGTGGTATGCGAATGTTTGTGTGTATAGATGCATAGAATTAAAAAAAAAAACCCTTTGCTCTTAAATGTTCACTTTGGTTGGTGTGCCTGACTTTTCTTTTTCTTTTGATGGATGCTCTTTGCTTTGGAATTCCAAATGTGATTGAGCCAAAAGGGTTATGATGTAATTGATATTGTATGCCATCAGATCTGGTATGCTTGCCCACACTGATGTACAAGAAGGAAATTAGAGATGACCTGAAACCAGCGTGTAGAAAGCAGCTTAACAATGACTGAATGATTCCAAGACAACATATGGCCACATACCCACACTCTCTTCAGTGAAGGCAGCAAGAGCCAGCGGGGGATGGAGCCTGCACCTCTCAGTGACGGGGAACACCGTGTAGGTGGGGACTGGCTTTGGGAATGTTGTCTTCTCAAAGCAACTTTTCATTTAACACCACAACAGTCCCAATGAGGCAGAACTCCCAGCTCTTAGACACTTGGAGTGCTTCTGGGCTTCTTAGTGAGGAGGTGAGGGGGGCAAGGAATAGTAATGGTGGGACCAGACATTCTGTGACCTTCCTTACTTTGTAATTGGCTTTAAAAAAAAACTATCCTTTTAAAGCAATAAACCAACCAGAAATAAGAATTTATCCAACAGTCATCTCGCTATCATTCAAGAAGACAGAACAAGATCTGAGCTTTTGAAACTGAAAACTCAGGTTTCCTGTTTTTTCTTTCTACAGAAGCAGCATAAACGCTTGCCTCATACAAAGGCCAACTCTCGATGAGTGGGGTGTGGGTTTCTCTTTCATCACTGAAAACCCAACTTCGCATTGTTGGGGAGACTTGAAAGCCAGTTTCTTAGGTGGCAGACCTTTTGATTTCTGTGTCCTCAGGGGCCTCCACTTTGAAGTGCCTTTTGCTTATGAGTGAAGAGAGGTGACGGGCTTGGGTTAGCCTGCTGTTGCCATGCCGGGAATGAATGGAGGGTTTGTGGAGGGAATGCCGAACTTGACCTGGGGTATTGGGTTACTCAGCTTTCTAATTCAGCTTTGAGTCCTGCGTCCTGCCTCCCTATGTTAAAAGGTGTTCACCAAATAATCAGAAAAGGCACAGTGACAGATCAGGACCTGAATGTGTGATGACATTCTTCATGCATGATGCATGCCAATTTACACATAGTGGGCCACCCCCTATTTACTTTTTCAATTGATTTTTAAGGAGAAAGCATGGTTTAGGGAAATCGAAAACCTCTGAGTATTTTTTTTTTTTTTCAATTTAATTGGTCCTGCTGCTGCCAACCAGTCTCATTTTCTACTGCAGTAAACTTAAGAAGTCATACAAGACGTCAGCCAGAGCTTGGGGACACTCAGTGAATGTGATGATCCTGCATGAAGCTGAGAAAAATCAGTAAACCATAACACCAGAGTGACTGCTTCAAAGTGGTGTAAAGAAACTATGGCAGATAGTCTCCCCTGAACTCTGAACACTAGAGTTCCAGACGGGATTATGGTGGGAGGAGGGGCAAAGATGTTACATGGGTCTTCACCAAATCCATGACAGAGGAAACTGTTCTGGGGAGCACACCAAAATGGGTAAATACTTATGAAAAAAACAAAACCCCAAACCAAAAACCTGAACTGCCTCAACCAAGCACTGTCGGTCATTAGTTTGTATCTATTGGGAAGGATTCTTAGATCCCCCCCCCCGTAAGCATTAGGGAGCCCTTTGTGACCACACTGGGAAATGCTCTAAGGAGCTCTGCCCTTATGTCCCCCATCAGGTGGCAGCTCCCGCTGAGCACCTCTGCTGGACGGTGTTTCTCAGCACACATCTCAGCTCTCTTGACAGGACTTTGGACTGTATCTGAGCCCTTCGAATTAAAGCACGTCAAATGACAATAACGGCTAAGATTGCCCTTGTTCTTTTGATGATAATGGGCCATGCACTGGAACATGATAGGCTCAGTTTGTATCGTTTTGCTGTCCTAGAAAAGCACTAATTTGGTTTTTCATTCATATCATCTACTTGCATGCTATGGCATTAATTAAGAAACAAAACAAAACAGCCTAACCCTCGCCAGCTCCCCCTTGGTTGCCACCCAGTCTGAGTTTTACCTATCTTACAGAATCTCCTGTGTCAAAGAGCACCCCAGGGGGGATGGACATATGGGGTTCCTTTTGGCTTATAAGAGTATTTTAGAGGTTATAACTGGGGCCCCTGCAGACACCCTCTATTAAGCCCTCCTCTCTGCAAACTATTTCACTAAATTCAGTACATCCAAAGCAAGCTGGAGATCACAGCAAAGAGAGCTTTGCCTACGGATTCTGTGAATTCACCTTTTGCACTTGAGGGGCACAGCACAAACTGAAGGTTGGAGGTTGATGCCCCTCTTTAAATAGGTACTATAAATATGCTAGAGCTATCCCTGAAAAGATGCATTTGCACTTAAATATATATTTTTTTATATATAATTTTTCTTTCCATTGTGTACAGTTATATATTAATCTATAGGTATAGCAGGAGAGGTATAGTACAGAAACAGGCAGGATTTGTATGCTCTTGTGTATATATTTATAATATTTATATTTATATGTATGTATAGCCTCTGTCCTCTTTTGCGTCATCACAATGAACGTACCTCCGACCAGCGAGGAGTACCTGTCAGCGGTGATGGAGAGACGGTTCTCTTTGTCTCTTACATGGAGTCATTTCAGCAGGCAAGGGTGAGGCGCCTGGAAGTGAATGGCCCCATGAGAATCCATCCTTCCTCCAACCCTCCAAGGAGGGACACAGCCTCCCAGGGCTGTGTACAAGCTGTCTCTTCTCAAGACTGCAAGGAGCCTGGAGCCCAGAACTGGGAGGGACCATCCATGCTGTTGGTTTAAGATATGGCTTTTCCATTAGATGGAGACAGGGCACTCGAGAACTCTGTCTTCCAGGAGGACGCTGACCACCAGGAACACGAAGTAGAGGCCGAACATGATGAAGCCGAGGATTTTGTTCATCCGCCATTTGCAGAGGGCAATGGAGAGGATGACGAAAAGCAACATGATGAAGAGGAGAACGATGGCGCAGAAGAGGCCGTTGCTACTGACAGTCACTGGCTTGAATCTGTGGATGACGGTGTAGAGGAGCCAGGGCAGTGGAAGCCTGAGAGGGAGAGAAGCAGGCAGGAGGGGTTGGACAGAGAGCAGCCAGGTGTGGTGAAGAAGCATCAGAAAGTAACCGTCAATGGCGTCAGGAGGATGACACCTTCAGGTCGCCAAAAGAAATGACTGGACCGAGAAACTATGGAAAGATGTCAGGGGGACCTCTGGAATTTTGACCAGTTTCCTGACTCATATGTTCTCTAGTGGACAACACCCAGGTTTTGACTGTTACAGGTGACCTCTGGATTTGATCTAAATTCATTTTTGTTTTCTTTCTAGGGGAGGTTACAATGTGCTTCCAGCCTAACAGGGTGAACTAAGATTTGTATGAGGTGAAGGGAGGAGAGGAGAGCAGAAAAGGGTGCAGGAGTGAATGGTGAAAACGGAGAAAAGATACTCTAATTTTCAGAATGGAGAGAGAGAGGCAAGGCCTTCTTTGAGAACCTGGGATGCAGTGAGGTTGCATTTTGGTAGTAGGGACTGAGGCACAACGTGGCAGACCGAAGTTTATTCTGAGAAAGATGGTGACAATCATTTATCAGAAGGGTCTTAGATGGGGCATAGTAGCACACGCCTTTAATCCCAGCACTCAGGAGGCAGAGCTGGCCAGGCTGGTCTACATAGTGAGTTCCAGCACAGTTAGAACTATTTAGAGAGACCTTGTCTCAAACAAACAAACAAACAAACAAACAAAACCAACCAACCAACCAAAAGAGCCTTACATTTATTATGAATTTCAAAACTTTATTATAAAATTTCCCACCATGTTTCTTGCTTTGATCTGTCTTGAAATCTGACAAAAAACATTGTTTCCTAGTCAAGAGTTCTGACTCTGATAAACATGAGGAAGAGTAATTCCTGGCAAGATACAGGAGTTAGTTGACCGGGCCTTGCAGGGAAAGAAACAGGGAGGAAAACATCTGGTTCCAGCGGTGTGCGCCCTCTGCAGGCAGGTCTGTGGCATGCAGCCAGTTACCGGCTGAGTATAGATAGCAAGGTTCAGCTGTGGCCAGGGACGTAGCGGGGAGAAAGTAACTGTTTGAATCACAAAGTTTTCTAATGAAAAAGCAAATAGGACATAAGCATTTTTTTTGAAGCCAACATCCGGGTCTCTGTGAGTTCGAGGCCAGCCTGGTCTACAAAGTGACCTACACTATGCATGTATTCTGAATTCCCAGGCCCAGCCCATGCAGACACCTAGGGTTTCTATGAAGACTTTGGCAGAGCTCATGTGATTGACACCATGGCCGGTGAGGTCAAAACAGATCTTTGCTCACTAGAACCTGGTGGGCGATGTTTACTTCAGTGGATCTTGCTGGGGCTAGGGGAAACCAAAATACTTTATCTCCATTAAACTTTGTCCTATAGCTGGATCTTGAACATGTCCTAAAGGCCATCTGTTAAAGGCTTGGTCTCCAGCCTGAGGCTCTTGAGAGGTGATAGAGCCTTTAGGAGGTAGGGTGAAAGGAAGCTAGGCCCCTGGGGTCATGACCTTGACTGGGATTTTGGGACCCTGGCCCCTTTCTGCTGCTTTCTTTGCTACCTGGCCACAACTGAGGTACACAGGCCTTCCCTGCCATGTGCCTGCACTGTGATACCCTGGCTGTCCAAAGCGACAGGGTCAAGAGGCCACAGGTGGACACCGCTGAAGCCATAACTCAAAGGAAACTTCTCCTTTAAGGTATAGGGCTTAGATAATTTGTCATTGGGCAGAAAGCTGAACAGCCCACAGTCACACACGTACATACACACAACTGATCTTGGTAAAGTTGAGACAGGTGGCCATTTAGATAGTTGGTGAAGCTCTTCGGGGAGTGACATTTTCCATACCTCCTGATCTGTCAACTCGAATGTCAGTGATCAGTCCTAAGCAGCGAGTGAGCTAGAAATGCTACTTTATTAAGTAAAATGATCATTTCAGTCTTATTTGAGTGAAAAGTTGGGGATCTTTTTCTAATTTCTAGCAATAAGGAACTAGTTAGATCATGAGTAAGCCAATGTAATGTTATGTGGCTATCTAAAACCACAAGCTTAGAGACTGGGACTGCAGAGCAGCTGAGAGAGTGCTTGCCTAGTGTGCAAGATGCTCTGGCTTCAGCAGCATTGCCTAAGACAGATGTGGTGCCTGTAAACCCAGCACCTGGGATGTGGAGGCAGAAGGGTCAAGAGTTCAAAGTCATCCTCTGCTTCATAAGCACTCTGAGGCCAGCTTGAGACCATGACCAGGCCAAACCACCAACCAAACCAAACCAAACCAAACCAAACCAAACCAAACCAAACCAAACCGAACCACAACAAACTTATCAAGCCTTACAGTAAAAAGAAAAAACTTATGATGAAATTTTAATATAGTCTTTCTCCTCTCTTTCCCTCTTTCTCCCTGAGACAGGGCCCCGTGTAACCCAGACTATCTGTGAACTTGCTATTTGCCTGAGAATAATACCGGACTTCCGATCCTCCTGCTTCCACCCCTCACATGACATCTATTTATTGGACTGCTTGGGTTAAGTGCAGGACCTTGTATATAATTTTAACTAAAAAATTAAGGGCACACATCAAACCAGAAATGCAATTTCAATCATGCAAAATGTACATATTTTGAGTGGTGGTAGATCATCACTGATTTCAGTTGTCTTCAAAAACCCTTATCTACCACTTATATGTGTAAAAGAAAATGTTGGCAGGACTATGGAGAAACGTTACATTCACTATATTGTTAATGATACACTCAATCTGCTGATAATAACAACATAAAATTGAACAAATTTTGAGAAAGATTTTTTTTATAAAGGAAATATATAAACCATATCAGTATCTATGAAAATATAACAGACTAAAAAACTTTAGCCTGTTAATTCTGCTTTAAGGGATTTATTCTAATGAAATAATTAAAAGAGAATTTTCTACAAAGAGGTATTCATACAATACCTATAATAGGGTTGGAGAGATGGCTTAGTGGTTAAGACCACTGTCTGCTCTGCCAAAGGTCCTGAGTTCAATTCCTAGCAACCACATGGTGGCTCATAACCATCTATACTGGGATCTGGTGCTCTCTTCTAGTGTGCCAGTGTACATGCAGATAGAGCACTCAATTATGTAAAATAAATAAATATTAAAAAAGAAAACAAAGCAAAATATATTTATAAAAAAGATACCTATAATGGCATAAAGCAAAATAAAGATAAGATCTACTAAAAGACACTGGTTAAACTGGAATGCAAAAGGATGAAACACCTGAAGTCTGAGTGTTGGTTCCAAGTGCTACAAAAACACTGAGCAGAGTGGATCTCATGGCCTTCCACGTTACCAGGAGAAGCCATTTCATGCCAGGCCCATGTGGCTTTAAGTTTAAAAAAGATAAGTGCCCTCCAAGAGAATGCAATGAAATCTTCTCCAAGAAAAATTATTAAGTATTTTCAAAAGAAGATAAAAAAATAAAGGGGTTTTGGTAGCAGCACTAGGGAATATTTTTTGAGAAACTTTTGTTTGTATAATATGAGTAGTTTATATAAATAATTTAGTAACAATGACAAAGAGCATGTTGTAATTTGTTAGAGTATGTACCTTGAGAAAATACGTTTATCTGAATACATATAGTTGTTAGATTGTGGTAGACTTTTTTTTTTTTCTTTTTTACACTATCAAACACTCTCCCTTCACCCCCTTCCTGGACCCACTCTGGTGAACATAAATTTGTAAGCAGCAGAGCTGACAAATGGAGTTTAATCCAGAACAACCTCTGTGAAAACACCCATTTATCTGTTCATTTTACAAGCACTTGTGAGATGCATTAGATAATGGGCCAGGCTTTGGTGAGTTTGGGAGATGCCTGAAGGGCTTACAGACTGGCAGAGAAGAAATAATCATAGTGAGAATATAATGTCCAGAGTTTAAAAAAAGCAGGAGTCCTGGGGATTTGAACAGACACTGGAAAGACAAGAGTTTCTGGTAGACAGGTGAGGAGGCTTTTTAGTGGGCAGCTAGCAAAGGCACAAGGCCCCAGGAGAGGGCACCTTGGTGACTGACAGCAGATTCAGACACTGGAAACTTGTAGTCATGTTTTACTCTGAGACAAAGAATTTGTCCTCAGAGACCCTATCTTAGTCTCAGCTACCTCATTTACCAGCTGTACCAGCTCTGTGCCCTCCAGTTTCCACTTTCAGAGACAAGGTTCATAATACATAATCTATATGATGATTGTGTGTTTTAAGTTGCTAACTGTAAGCACTATATGAACAATGATAAATATATGTATAATGGCTTAATGAAAAGGAACAACAAGATGTTCATTGAGAAAGTGGTTAATTTTTCACTTCCAGGTTCAAGAGCCCTATTATCCTGGGAAAATAGAGACTCTGTAACTTAAGGGACTTAAGTTTCTTAGAAGCTGATAATCAGGGTCATTTGTCAACTACTTTTGACAAGTTATATGAATGGTAGAGATAACAGAGTCCCTGCAAATCTGGCTCACTACAGATTATTCCTACCAAGAACACCTGTTTGCTCAACCAGGAGAATGAAGCTCATCTTATGCCTTTCAAAAAGCCTAGGTTGCCCCTAGTTTCCAAGCAAGGAGACAGGATGTCGACACTGGTCCTGAGTGTGTCCCAAGCTGCCTTTGAATCCAATCTTACATAGTCATGTTAGTAATCAGAGAGTGGAAAAAAAAATACCATGAAACTATCAGAGCATCCCAGCCCTACCTGGACAGCGCACATTCACAATTTGTGGTGAGTGAAGTTATGTAAGTAAAATCCTTATTTTCTAGAACATTCTGTATGTAAGTATGTGTTTCTGCGGGTCTAGGGATAACTTAGTTTTTATTAAGTTCCTTAAAAATAAAAAGTCAGCTGGTGAAATGGAATGGCGCTTCCAGGCCTAAGTTTCAGTTGGAACTTGGGTAAGTTTTTGGTTCAGAGAGGCAGCTCACGTTTCTACAGTTTCTAGGATGACAAAGAAAGGTAGAACTGGTGTACATGCTTATACTCACCCCACAGTGATGTCAAAGATGTTGCTTCCAACAGAGCTGGACACAGCCATATCCCCCAGGCCCTTCCGGGCCACTATGACACTGGTGATAAGATCAGGGATAGAGGTCCCGGCAGCCAAGATGGTCAGACCCATGATCTCTTCACTAATGCCAATTGTCTCTCCAACCTGAATGTCACAGCAGGGAAAAATATGAGTGTTGAAAGTCCCAGAGCCCCCATCACTATGGGACCCCTTCTTCTTAATGGGTCCATCCTCTGTTTTAGGATAAGTGCTGATACAGTAAAAATGAACAAGCCATAATCACTGAGAAGGGAAATAATTTGCTCTGCTTTAACATCCACACCCAGGAAATTGGCCAGACTAATAACAGAGAGCTGTAGAGACCCCTGAGTGCAGCCACCATACTGTATCTTCTCAGACAGCGTAAGAAAGGCTGCAGAATTCATTTGAAAAGCCAATGGACTTTGTACCTAAGGCCAGCACCTGACAGTGCCATTGAGTCCCCAGGCTCTTCAATCTACTATTGAGTGTTAGGACGGTGTCCCAATTTTTCTTAATACCTCCACTTACTTCTATCACTCTAAAACTCCTGTAATTTCTACTGTTTCCATAGGGAAGTTGACACAGGGTGTACTCGGGCTTGGAAATAAGAATCTAAGTCAACAAAACGGTTATGCAGAACCAACAGCAATAAATCAGAGGACTTTTGTCCCAGAGCTGCCTTAAGGACTTCACCAACTGGTAAGTGTTCCCTGATTCTTGAATTCTTAGCCATCAAGTATGGATGATATTCATTACCTTACAACGAGGTTGTGGGCTAAATGACAGTTTTCAAAAAAGCCCCTGTAAATGGTGTACCATTACTGAAAAGTGAGAAGGGACAGTATTCTATTTAATTATGGTCTTTATTTAAGACCTGAGTTGTGTTTGGATGGTTGGCCTAGCCTCAGCTAGAGGCTCCATCCATCCATCCATCCATCCATCCATCCATCCATCCATCCATCCTTCCATCCATCCATTCATCCTAGGGATCAAACTCAGGTCATTTCATTGCATATTCTGGGTAAGCACTCTACCATTGGGCCATGGACCCAGCCATGGTTTCTTTCAGACAGCATCTTATTATATAACCTAGGCTAGCTTTGAACTTGGGATCCTCTTGCCTGTGTCTTTCTGCCTCCTGAGTTCTGGCTCAGTGACTGTGAGCCACTACAGTTTTTTTTTTTTTTGTTTTGTTTTGTTTTGTTTGTTTTTGTTTCTTCAGCACCTTGTGTTTTAGGGACTTTTGGCATTATATGTTTTCTGGAGCTGGCGAATTACTGCTCTCAAAAATTTTAGGCAATATGTCTAAAGACAAAAATGTTTTTCAATAGACTATTTTATGACATCCAGAAATGTTTTTTTGAAATAATTTAGTGAGTAAAATAACAGAGAAATAAAAGATTTTAGATAATAGAATGCTTATTTCTAAATCTCCTTTTTGATTTATAAGTACATACTATCTTGGTTCCTGGTAACTGAAAAGCACAGTAAAAAGTGGGTTTTATTTTGGTAGTCTGCTCCAAGTCTATTGAGCTGACTTAGTCCTCCAGGCACACAGACTCACTGCCCTCCCTCCCTTAGAAGGTGCGTTCCATGGCAGGAAAAGACACCTGCCACCAAGCCTATAACCTGAGTTACATATCCAAGACCCACATGGTAGAAGAAAAGAAGCAACTCAGCCACTCTCTTTGCTGCTCTCATACACAATCATAAATGTAATAAAAATTTATAAAAAAGAAAGAGTATTCTACATGCAAGCAATGCCCTTACTGAGGATTATATTGCGTTAGAATATTAGGTTATAAAAATTGCTCTTTGAGTTGCTGACTTGGCTTTCTTAAAAATTTTGTTAAATGGGGGCCTGGTGAGATTGCTCAGTGGGCAAAGATGCTTGTTGCCAAGCCTGATGACCTGATCCCCACATGGTGGAAGAGAGAGGTGACAGCACATTGCCCTCTGACCCCTGCCTGTGTGCTGCGGCATGTGTGCGCCTCTCTCTGCCCAAATACATAAAGTAAATAAAAAAAAGTGAAATAAATTTCTGTCTAGCTTAGGATCAGGGCAGAATTTATAACCACTTCTGAAGTGGTCCTACCATAGTGTAGGACTCCCACCGCATTGTACTGCATTTCTGTGTGATGCAGTGTCCTCAGGCAATTAGTGATCAACTCTGAAAGTCGCTGAAGATGTTCTCTGTCCTGCAGCATCGCATAGTCTTCTAAGATTTAATGCTAATGCAACAACACACAAGCCCAATCCCTCTGAAAAGCGTGCACGTCGCTTTCACCTTTAACAGATGATAAAATTATACACACACCAAGAAATTGTTTCCAAATAAATTTCTTGATTTTTTTTTCATCAGCAAATGTTTGACTTGTGTATTTGTTTTATAGGGCAACATTTCTGGGGTTGTGTAAGAAATTTCTTGGGCAAGAAGAGTCCTAAGAAGAAACAGGTTAGTCTGCTGTGGGCTCTGAGCACCTGCTTGCTACACGATCGGGTTGAGCCTCTCCCTGGGAAACAGACGTGTCCAGTTTGCACAGAATGGTCTCCTTCACTCTGATTTTCACCCTCAGCACGTTGCAATTGCTTTAACACATTCCTAATAATTTAAATTCATAGAGGGAAAGCTGCCGCAGTGATCATTTAAAACCACACCGTTTATATTTGGTGTTTGAATGCCACTCCCAACAGATGGGAAGCATGGCGGTGGGGTCAAGGACACGGTGTATCTCCTTTCAGGTCTCAGATGAGGCTAGCCTGCCTTGACTTCTCAGTGCTAGGACTTCAAACATGGACCACAATGCCCGGATGCTGGGGCATCTTTCTCATCAGTTTTAGACTCGATTCCTTTATCTGAAGATTGTTGATAATGATCATGTCCCCTCATAGCATCCAAATCTATGTACAAGATTAAAAACAAAAGTAAAAGGACAAAGGGACACAAACTTCCCACTCGACAAACGGTTCCCACTCTCAGCTTTGAGTATGGAAGCCCTTGAATTTCACTCATTCATGTTCTCAAGCAGTAGTTACTGAGATCCTGTCTTGGGATCAGCATATGACTGGTACTGAGTGAAATAAATGTGACAAAAATGACATACATCATTACATTTACAACTTGAAGCTCAAGGAAGAGCACTTCTGTCTTCAGGATCTTTCTTAACAACTATTGTCAAGTGTTGGGGAAGGCTGAGGAGGTGGCTTAGTGCGCAAGACCAGTTACCGCACAAGCGTGAATGCAGATCCAAGCATCCGTGTGAAGAGGCCTGTAACCCCAGCGTGGGGATTGGTGGCGGAGACAGGAAGGACACTGGCGTGTGCTGCCTGCCAGCCTAGCTGAAAAATGGCAAGCTATAGGTTTAGTGAGAGACCCTGTCTCCGGGTCATGTGAGGTAGGGAATGATAAAGAAGAACCCAGAAGACACCCTTCCTATGACCACCACATGGACTCACACACAAGTGCACAGATGCACATCTCTCTCTCTCTGTCTCTCTCTCTCTCTCTCTCTCTCTCTCTCTCTCTCTCTCTCTCTCACACACACACACACACACACACAGAGCTGGGGTCAGCCACACTGATTTGCTTACTCAAAACAAAATAAAGACACTGAGGTAGGTAGAATCTTGACTTTCTTCCCAGCCCTGGTTGACCAGGCCTTAGGGGACAGCAAGAAGAATCCTTCCTCCACATAGCTGTCTAACAGCAACGCTGATTTGATTTCTGACCACAAAGATAGGCCTGGAGAGTAGGAAAATCCTTTCCTGAGATGTGACTTGTCTGGACCACACCCAGTATTGTGACAGTTTCGAAAGGCAAACGCACTGATTAGCCATTTGACACTAGAGTGGAGATAAAGAAGGCAGGTGGGTGCTACTGGCAGTCTTACCTGGTGTGCCCACCAAACCATCAGGTACGAGAAAACTGCAATCCATGTGATGGAGCCAAAGAATGTGATAGGGAAGAACTTCCTGGAAGCCTGCCAGACAACCAGAGGAGAAGAGTGTCAGTATTGCCCTCCGCTGGTGGAGTGACAGCCCAAAGCCAAAGCCGCTTTGCCACTGGCATGATTTCTCCCACATTTCCTACTTCTTGGTAGGATTAGCAATCAACAGATGCTATCTACCCCTAATCAAAGTGGGAGAGGAAAATTCATTTTTGGAAATTAAAATTGGTGGTAGCTGAACGGATGTAGAACTGGGAAAGAAATCTCCTTTCTCTCTCTCTTCCTCCTCCTTCCTCCACTTCTTTCTCTGAGATAGGGGATGATCATAGCCCAGGATAGCCCAGAATTCACTAGGTAGTCCAGGTTGGCCTCAAAGCCCATCTTCCTGTCTCAGCATTCCAAGTGCTGTGACATGTGCCACTGTGTTGGACTCTGGAAGCCACTTGAAATAATGTCTGTTCATGCCTAGAGCTAGATGCCCAATGCCCTCTGCCCCTGCCCTTTATAAGGTCTGGATTCTTTGTCATTTCTTCTGTTAAACATCTTGCATCCTTCTTCTATCTCTCCCCTTTTCTTTAGTTTGTTCCCATGTTCTTCAGAATCAGGACATCAGAATCTACCGCTGGCAAACCATGTGTCATAATAATCCACATGCCAAACCTCTTAGGTGACTGATCACATGAAACGAAATGGGAAGGATTAGGAAGGTTGAAAATAGGTTATTCATCTTAGAGTCCCACAAATTATCAGGAAAGCCACCACCACAGATGGTTGGTGATGGTTTCTCTCTAGGACACTAACCACAGACATCAGCTCAAGTGGACAGAGGTGGAGGTGGGGTCAGGGTGATCACCACTAGGGAGGGGAAGATCAGCCATCATTCTCGGGAATGCGATCTCTCCCATGTGCCACTCTGCTTTCCACACTGGCCTCTAGCCACCTTGGGCTCGTACAGTGTGAGGACACTCAAAGTTCCCTCAGAACACCAGGCAAAAATCAGACACTCAGAACGTAATCTTTCAGGGCTAATAAGTGAGTGGATGCCTGCTGCCAAGCCAGACTACCCATGTTCTATCCTTAGAATCCAGGTAGCGAAAGGAGAAAACCAACTCCTTAGGCTGTTTCTGATCACGTGGACTAAATGAATGACCAAATAAATAAATAAATAAATAAATAGTTCCTGCTGATTCCCTTGATGGAAGACATGGAACATGCTTAGACATCAGACTGTTGTTTGGGGGCCTACCACCCATTTTTTTAATTAAATTTTTATTTTTATATTAATTACAGTTTATTCACTTTGTCTCCCAGCTGTAGCCCCCTCCTTCCCAATTCTACCCTCCCTCCCTCATCTCCTCCCATGTCCCTCTCCAAGTCCACTGATAGGGAAGATCCTCCTCCTCTTCCATCTGACCCTAGCCTATCAGGACTGGCTGCATTGTTTTCCTCTGTGGCCTGGCAAGACTGCTCCCATATGGGGTGGGGGGGGTTTGGTCAAAGAGCCAGCCACTGAGTTCATGTCAGAGACAGTCCCTGTTCCCCTCACCAGGGAACCCACTTGGACACTGAGCTGCCATGGGCTATATCTGAGCAGGAGTTCTAGGTTATATCCATGAAGGTCCTTGGTTGGAGTGTATCAGTCTCAGAAAAGATCCATGTGCCCAGATATTTTGTTTCTGTTGTTCTCCTTGTGGAGCTCCTGACCTCTCCAGGTCCCACTATCTCCCTCTTCTTTCGTAGGATTCCCTGCACTCTGCCCAAAGTTTGGTTAAGAGTTTCAGCATCTGCTTTGATACCCTGCTGAATACCCTGCTGGGTAGAGTCTTTCAGTGGCCCTCTGTGGTAGACTCCTGTCCCGTTTCCTGTTTTCTCCTTCTTCCAATGTCCATCCTGTTTGTCTTTCTGAGTGAGGATTGAGCATCTTACCCAGGGTCCTCCTTCTTGCTTAGCTTCTTTAGGTGTACAGATTTTAGTATGTTTATCTTATACTATGGGTCTAGTATCCACTTACAAGTGAGTATATACCATGTGTGTCTTTCTGCTTCTGGCATACCTCACTCAGGATGATCTTCTCTAGATCCCTCCATTTGCCTGCAAATTTCATGATTTCCTTGTTTTTAATTGCTGAGTAGTATCCCATTGTGTAAATGTACCACACTTTCTGTATCCATTCCTCTGTTGAGGGGCATCTGGGTTGTTTCCAGGTTCTGGCTCTTATGAATAAAGCTGCTACGAACATCCCACCACCTATTCTTGCCAACACTTCATTTCAAAGCTTTCCATGGTGAGAAAACCACACATTGCGCTTTGTTTGACAATTTCATCCAGTTTTGTTAAGGGCAAGGGCTTCTACAGTTGATGCAGACAGGGCCAGTTTCAGTTGTATGAAGAGCTGAACCAGGGAAGTGGCAGGGTCCACCCTGTCACGGCACTTGAAGGTTCATCCGAGGAAACAAACGAGTGAACTTGTGTGTGGCAGCCTCTTACATCTGAGGCACAGTGCTAGGCTCGATGGTTCCAGACTAGGCTTGCATTCTCTTTGTTAATGTCAAGCTTTGAGTAAGTCATTTTTATTATCATTTACATAGCCCATAGACTACAAGCACCTTTTTTTTTTTTCTCTTGAAATGAATGCTGCTTTGGAGGGGAGCATTCTCTGGAATGGACTGTAAGACCAAATGGGCATGCTCAGTTGGGAGAGAGCATCATGTCATAGAGGGCAGGCCAAATGTCACACTTAAATGCTTCCTTACGCTCCTTCTCTTTCTTAGAAGGAAAGTATTTTGGATAAGGACTCTAGTCTCTCTTGCAGCACTGAGCACTTCAGTGGGTGATGAAGAAACCCATCCCCTTCCCCCCTCAAAAAAAATAGCTTATGCCTTCTCTTCTCAAAGCAGATTTCTTGAAGGCTGGCAACTGGATTCCTGAGATAAGATTCCCCCCGCAGACTACACACCAAGCCTGTCCAGGCAGGGCACTGAGCTGACTGGCTTTTTAAGCTTTTTTTTTTTCCTTCTGACTGTGAGTCATTATTTTAGGATTCTAAGTGGGATGGAGGTTTCAGTCTCCCAGGGTCATGCTCTGTCATAGGAGGAAAAGGGCAACTCTTGCCACACAAGGCCACCCCTGATTCCAGCATCAACCAGATGAAGATTCTGGGTGTGGCATGAGAAGCACAGACAGCTGTTATCTACTTTCTGCTGAGGTATCTATACCCCGTGCCCTGGAGTGTCTTCACAGAATCTTCTATTTCCAGTTTATTTATTCACTAAATGTATACTTACTGTTTATTGTTCATTTAATACATTTTAAAGTTTCCCCTCTGCATGTCTGCTCACTGAGATGACACCATCAATCAGAATCGAAATACTGTCACTGAACTGTAGAACATTCCCAGACAAATGGACAAGGCCAGGGGTGAGACTGGGGATGTAAAGCAAATGCAAATCAACCCATTATGGAAACCTGCCCAATTCAATATTTGGCACTTAAGATTCCTAATTAGGATACCAATTACTAATTAATTGGCATCAAAAAATAGCAAACATTGAATTAGAGACTTAGTTAAAAAAAAAAAACCTCTTAAAAACAAATATTCTCATTAAATATCAAACATCATTTACTAGGACCAGGTGAAGACTTGGTACCTATTCTGTCTCCAGATCTTCAACTAGGAATAAAATTCCAGTTGGCTGACTACACAGCATGTGTGCCTAACACGTCTCTTTTACCAACCCTTCCTGAAGAAAACAGGGGCAAGCCGCTCAAAATACACCTAGCCACAGGCAGAACTTTATTCCCAACGTCAGAAAATAATAATAATAATAATAAAGCATCCAGGAACAGAGGCCAGTGTTCCAGCTGTTTGGCCATCTGCCTCCCCAGCCTCCCATATTGTTCTTGCCTCGGAAGTTGCAAACCTTCATGCACCAGTAGTTTGGCTAATTGTTTCTCCGTCAAACTGCCTTATCAAGCCCTGTCTCACAACCCAGGAAATCACTTCTCTCATTTGGGTCTGGACCATTCTCCTCATTTGGACTCCCTGGTTTCATTCTGGACATCACTGCCCCGGAGCATCTGTACAGGTATTAGGTTACCAGTCTCATTGGAAGAGAGAAAATAGCCCTGGAAGCCAAGGTCTAACACATTAGGTTATGGTCAGTAATGGTGGCTCATTCTGACATCTGTTAGGATCAGCCTCATACCAATTAGCAAATGAGCAAATTGTGTCCATGTGCTGTCCATTTTGTTTCCAATGTAATGGTTAGGTACCTAATTGACAGCTAATGTTCCCATTAGAAGCTTTTAGTTGAACAGTGTGATACTGGCTTGAAAAAAGTCACCAGACAATGGCTGGCTGAGCAAACCGGCCGTGTCCTTGCTGTTCTAAACTTAATAGTCACTGCGCACCCACTCCGTGCAAGGTTCTGAAGAATCCACGCTAGGTGGAAGGGAATGGGAGCCTTTCTATGTAGCCCAGGATAGTTTCAAATTTATAATTGTCTTGCCTTGGTCTTCTGAGTAGCTGTGGTCACAGGAATTTACCATAAATCTGGATTGAAGCATACATTTTTACACTCACGCATTTACTTATTATCTGTTCATTCATTCCCTTATTTGATGTGTTTGTGTGTATGTGTAAGGGTCTTGTGGGAATCTGTTATCTCTTTCTATCACGTGAGGCCTGGGGATCAAACTCAGACCATAAGGCTTGACCATCACGTTTACCTGCTGAGCTCTTGTTAGGCCCTGAAGTAAACTTTTGAGTGGCTGTGGATGTCTGGTATGATGGGAGTCTTGGCTCTCCTCTTAGCAGCTAGCTGTGATTGAACCAATCACCAAATCTCCTTGAGTCTCAATCACTTCATTCTTGCTACATCACATTTGGCTTCTGCTGGATAACCAATAAAGCGTTGGTGAACCTGCAGACCTCCAGGTGGGTGTTCGTGTTCCTTCTCGGCTCTAACGAATCATGTTTTCCTGTCTCGAGAGATGGGCCCTCCTTCGTATGAACACCCACCTCAGGCCATGAGAGAAAATAAGATCAGGTGTTTTATTGTTTATTATCTTCAATTTCCATCAAAGGTATATTTCTAATCAAGATTTATACTCTTCCCTTTTCAAACAAAGTTGTTAATTCAAGAAGCTCTTATTTAACATCTCAGCTGAAAGTATGTGTGATCTAATAAACACGGCCATAAAATTTGCATAGAAATGATGTGAGAATGAAAACAAGTGGGAGTAATATTTATTCTGAAATTAGAACTACACGTGTAGCGAGAATTTTGATTTCTTAAAAAAAACCCCACTTATGTTATGCGATTTTTTTTTAATCCCAGGTGTGGGATACGGGGCTACTTCAGTTTGTCTCCTACTCTAGGAGGGGCATGGTTTTTGCCAGCTTCAGATAGTTTAATTCTGGGGACGCTGGAGAAGGTGTAAATGGGAGGGCCATGGGAGGGCCATGGGAGGGCCTGTGATGGTTGCTGTTCCTCTGCTGCTGTTCCTGCTGCTGCTCCCGGTCTCTGCTGTTGCTGGTCCCTGCTGCTGTGTTTCCTTTTGCTATTGCTGGCTTGCTGGATTGGCTAGACATTCTGTTGTTGAAGACTGGACTTGTCCTTAGGAACCTGATGCCCTTTATTCAGCAGGAAGTAATCTAAAGAGGTCTACATTTCCTCTCCCCTTCTTTCTGGCCTACCATGTTGGGGGTTTGGAAGGGATTAGAGTGAATTAGGATGGTAGATATGAGAACCCAATTAAAAAAAAAAATCTCCAAAATGTATGCTTACAATCATGCTTTCCCTGTAATTATTGGTAAGGTTTAGTATTTTTCATATCCATGAGGAATTTAAATAACTACTGAAGAGACAAAGCTGGTGGGCCCTACAGGGGAGCAAATATATGTTAGTTAATTTTCCTATTCTTTTCCCTCTCCCTTGATATTACCTCCAGTGACCTTTGTGGACACATATAAGGTCTGTGGTAGGACAAACAAACAAGCCAAACAACAACAACAACAGCAACAACAAAAAACATTAGTCTGCCTCTCTGAATAAATGAGCTCTATTTCTCTACTCTCAGGTCTGGGCTGAGAGTAAGTGTGTGTTGGCAATGAAGGAGTACAAATTCCAAACTAGACCTCAAGAGGGTTTTGGAGTTTTCATTCCTGTAGCTCTTGGTCTTTTGCTATCTGTGACTAAGTCCAGGCCAGACTGCTTAAAGATTAGAGACCATGATCACTAGCTCTCTCAGGTGAAAGGCTCCTATGGCAACCAGCCCCAGGAAAACTGTCCAACCAGGCCTAGCTCAGATTTCGGGTCTTCAGAGTCATGGGCTGAAACACATTTTTTTTTTAAGCTGTCTTTGAGATGTGTTACAGCACAAAAAGAAAATTGACATAAACAATCTAATAAAACGCCTCTGTAATAAATGATCAGGAAACATCTTGATGGCTTGGGTATCTACTGGCACGGTTTATTTCATTTGGCCACTTATACGGGCATGGAGGTCCACCTATCTTCCAACCAGTATGCTCTCAAGTCTAAGCTGCGACTATCATAGACAAGCTGAGTACACAGTCACCTTCAATTTACCCTATGGCATTGAGGCTGATCAATTGATTCATGCTTTTCTCAATCACAGAATGGAAAAGCTGGTAGAGAATCTAGAGATCTTAGAAACCTTTAGTAACAGTGGACAAAAGTGGGGTCCAGAGGAACGCATTTCCCAAAGTTGCTCAGCTTATAAGGTAGGACATGGAGAACAAACTACCCGCATCAGGGGAGTGGAATGAAAATGATCTGGAGTAGAAGACTTTGGCTTGAGTCTCCTTTTACTGTTGCTGTGAAATCTTGCTTTGAGTTATATGTAAACGTCTCAGTTAGGGTTACTATTGTTGTGATGAAACACTAAAACTAAAAGAAAGCCCTTCTCTCCCATTTCCCTGCTTTGCTAAAACTCATGAGATTACATTCCTAAAGCGAGCACCAAGGTCTATTCCCTTATTTGGACACTTCCTCCTCTTGAGGCTGACTACCGAGGTCCAGCTATCAAAGTATTTAAGCCCAGCAATCAACAGCCCCCTTTGGCTTATCTAATTAACATGGCCAATTAAAATTACATACTTCATCCTAACACAGGGTTCCCTTGAAACTTTATAAACTGTCATTTTCTTATGGGCCACTCCTGTCTCCTCTCTATCCAGAGGCAGTCCTTTGTCCCATTCCCCTCTGGGACAAATATCTCTGCCTCCTATCCCTTGATCCCTTCCCCTTTTCCTTCTTTCTCTGTCTCCTGTCCTTGTCTCTGTTCCCTTCCCTTTGTCCCTCTGGGGCCAATAAATCTCCTTAGTGCTGAGAAGTTGGTCTTTGGGGTCCTGGGCTGATACTTTTCCTTTTACCAACAACACATGTATCCTACCATAGATGTTTCCAGAGATCCCATGATGTAGTGTATTGAAAATATTGGTACAGAAGCTGATGCATGATAGGTATATGTGAGTGTGTGATGTGAGGGTCCCCTTTTCCTCTCCTTATCTTTTCTACCTCTAGTGCAAAAATTCATGGTTCAAGAACCTTGAATTTTACCAACCCTGGAAGGGAATGGTCCTTTGATTAGCCTACACATACTAGGATGGCATTGCATTCACAGCCCTTGACATCTGACAATATTAAACAATAATATTGGTTATAGTGATGACAAAAAATTGTAGAAGGAATACCATATATGTGGGCATTTGCATTTCTTTAAATTATTTTTTAAAAATAATCCACATATATAGCTGAAAGAAAATAAAAGGAAATACGGAGTGGCTTTCCTGCTTGGACCTTGAGCTGTACCTCTTAAGAGAAAACTGCTCCAGTGGTTCCAAGTTGGACATTTTTCTCATTAAGAGGTCTATATGGCACGTGACGCTGGCATATTTTAGGTCAACTAATTTTTTAAGGTTTAATTTTCTAAAAATTGTGTATCTATGTATGTTTCTATGTTGGGGTTTGTAAACACCTTGTACAGGTGCCCTCAGAATCCAGAAAAGGGCATCCCCTGAGCTGGAGTTCCAACTGGCTGTGAGTCTCTTAATGTGGCTTCTCAGAACTGAACTCAGGTCCTCTGCAAGAGCCACATGTGCTCTTAACCACTGAGTCATTTTTCTTGCTGCTAGGCGAACTCCAACCCTCCTCCCTTTTTTAAGTGAAAGGCTCTCTCTACATATCTCTGGCTGTCCTAGAACTCACTATGTACATCAGGCTGGCCTTGAACTCACAGAGATCTGCCTGCCTCTGTTCCCCAAATGCTGGGATTGAAAGCATGTGCCACTCTGCCCTTTTAATTACAGCTGTTTTTGGGTGTGTTGGCTAGTAAAGGATAATTGAATTTTCACTACAGAACTCCAGAGACAAGGGAAACAAGGAACATACAACTTCTGCCTTATGCTGCTACAACCCTCACTCTTGGAGGTCTGATCTCTTGTGTAGGACATTGGACTATCCTGAGGCCATAATCCTGTGAGGAAACAAATTGCAGAGACAATGTTTGGGTAACCTGGTAGACAATCCTGCCTTCAATTCATCTCTGCCTAGGTGCCAAAAACATTAGCAAAGAAGTCTCTAGATGAATGTGGTCCCCTAGATCTAAGTCACCCCCTAACCATCCAAATCTTTCCAGCTGGAGTCC